TGAGAACAGGGTGTCATAGAAAGCAAATGCCAGTGAGGTGAAGGTTATCAACATTCTACCTCTTCTTTAAGGTTCAAAGGGCCCCTCTTCCTGAAGAGGCATCTGTCTCTTAGTGAGCAGTAATTTCTAGAAGTAAGTTATCCTCTCTGCTAGGTGAGGACACTGGTTAGCATCTATCACAAAACAACCCTTACTGAGAGCCCAGGGTCCTTTCTTTGTCCTGACCCTTATTTCATTCATCTTGGGTCCAGAGTGAACTTTAAAGTCAAGTTTATTTTAGGAATTCCAGGCCATGTTCACCTCCGGAAGGAATGAGGAAGGAGAGGTGTGGGGCTGGATAATAACACAGTCCAGATTAACAACTGGTGATGGGTGAGGTAATGTGGAAAGAAGGGCTGCCTTTAGTCTCTTGATGAGTAACAGCAACCTCTTATCCTGTCCCTCCCAAGCCCGGGTTTAACAACACTCCATTCTTTTCATCGTTACCTCTGAGGGGAGGATTGTCAATGAGAATATTCACAGTTAAAGTATCGAAACCAACAAGGTGCAATGGGGAAAGGTGCTAAACTGGGAGCCCAGAGACCTATCCTAGTCCAAGCCAGTTCTAACTAGCATCCCTTTGGGTCTCAGTTTCCCCATTTGCCAAATGAAGGGGTTGAATTGTTCAATACTCAAAGCCTATATAGATCCCTATAAATTAGGAATCACAAGCTTCCTGTGATTTTATGTTGGATTTATTCCCCAATCATGAGTCATCAGTCAATCTCTGACTTTGCAAATACAACTTCCTCACCAATGATGGAAATTAAAGCACTTAATTCTCTTATGAGTAGGTTGCACACTCTGAATGGTGTGTACTGTACTGTCTGGGAAGTTGAGGCAAAGGAAATGGCTCTTTAATCCCTCCTGGGATCTAAATGGAAAACAAGACAGGCTGTGACATCAGCTCCCATTTCCTCTGCGATCAGACTAAATAATACAAATATCAATATTAAATTATGTGTGCATACTTTTTATTTTTGCCTTCCACGGCAAATCACAGTGAATCCTTTGCTCTTAGCTTTTAGTTCAAGGTTATGTAGGAAGAACAGGAAAAATGAACACAGAATTACAGCATCTTTAGAGCTACGGGCAACTTTAAAGATTAGTCCCAACCTCTTATCATCCCATCATTGAGGAAAAATGAGAGGTCCAAGATGTGAAATAGCTCCATCCAATGTTGACTTCCTAAAGCATATTTTCTCAATTTGCCTCACCTAAACCCACTGTCATTGGACAATACCACCACCTACATGCCAAATAAATAAGCACTTTTTTAAAAAGCCAAAAAAGAGAAGTGAATCTCTTTTCATGAGTTTCCTTCATTACAACTAGATGAACCATGCAAGCGGAAAACTGAATTCACCAGGAGGAATGTATCTGAGACAGGAATGGGTCATCCTCTTAGACTGTATCCAACACCAATTCTTCACTCCAAGATCTAGCTACTCCATATTTCTATCCCCTACCTACTTCTGTCTCTACAGGTATGCAAGCACCAGACCTAAGGAAATTGTTATGAAAATAATATTGCCCTTTAACAGGCTAGCCATTTGCTACCATATCACCTACCAGGTATAAAGGTGCTGCTTTAGCTGGGCATGGTGACGGTTGCCTGTACCCCAGCTACTTGGGAGGCTGAGGCAAGAGGATCCCTCGAGCCCAGGAGTTTGAGACTAGCCTGGGCAACATAGCAAGACCCTGCCTCAAAAAAATAATTTAAGAAAGTACTGCTTTAATTTAGGAAATAAAATTCAAATGCTTAAAATCTGTTCTTTTCACCAAGAAGCATGATTTCTGCTAATTTATCCCATCTTTCATTTCCTGTGAAAGTTACTCAAAAGCATCTCTGCAGAGAAAATAAATTAATTGATAGTTTCATATGTAAGCTATTTTTCTAAACTTAGAAAATAAAGGTCAGCATTAGGGGTTGAAGTTACTGGAACCACGTAACAAGATCTCATCCCTTCCCAATCACTTTGCCTCACTATTCGGATGGATGAGATATGCCTTATTGTTACATCCATCCTATTGTGGAACACACACTCTTATTTTTTAACAGATGAAGTTTTGCTCTGCCACCCAGGTTGGAGTGCAGTGCTGTGATCATAGCACACGGCAGCCTCACACTCCTGGGCTCAAGCAGTCCTCCCCCTGCCTTAGCTTCCTCAGTAGTTGGGACTACAGCCATGTGTCACTACACCTGGTTATTTTTTTCTATTTTGTTAGAAATAGAAATATTTCTGACCACATTCGATGACATTTTCATAGTCAGGTGCTCCATACCAGAAAGTTCAAGATGACAATAAAATTCAAGATGCATAGGTTGTTTTAAAAAATGCATAGACTGTTAGAACTGGAAGAAACTTTCAAAAGCGTCTCAGTATATGCCTTCCCTTTCCAACTAAAGAAATGGAAGAACTGGGTGTGGTGGTTCATGCTTCGGTCAGGAGACTGAGGCAAGAGGATTACTTGAGCCCAGGAGTTTGAGACCAGCCTGGACAACACAGCAAGACCCTATTTCCAACAAAATAGAAAAAAATAAGCAGGTGTAGTGGCACGTGCCTATAGTCCCAACCACTCAGGAAGCTAAGGCAGGAGGAGGACTGCTTGAGCCCAGGAGTGTGAGGCTGCCGTGAGCTATGATCACACCACTGCACTCCAACCTGGGTGGCAGAGCAAAACTTCATCTCTTAAAAAATAAAAAAGAAAACTAGCCAGGCCTGGTGGCACACACCTGTAGTCCCAGCTACTCGGAAGACTGAGGCAGGAGAATCATTTGAACCTGGGAGGCAGAGGTTGCAGTGAGCCAAGATCGTGCCACTGCACTCCAGCCTGGGCGACAGAGCAAGACTCAGTCTAAAATAAATAAATAAATAAGAAGAAAGAAATGGAGTTGCAGTGAAATCAGATACTCATCCCTCATCACACCCCTAGTTGGCAGCAGTGCCAGATCTAGTGTCCATGTCTCCAGTGTTCATGTTCTTTCCACAGTCCTTGCTGCTTTCAGCATCACTGTAGGCTTTCTAAACACTCACGAAGGGTTGGCTGGAGGCTATTCCTTGGGAGTCAGCCACTCCCATTCCAGAGCTGCCTCTGCTATTCCACTGCATGAATTACAGATGCAAAAGGTTGCTAACGCTGGAATAAGCAGATGAGTTTCCTTTCTTGCCCCAGTGTCTTACATTCTGTCAACCAGAAAGGTGACTGCGCTTATAGTTTTTAGTTGCTCTCACAGTAAATTATTGTCCTGATTTATCCAAAGTCCATTGCTGCTATGCAATATGCAATCAAGAAGGAACATTCTGGTTTTGAATTATGTGAGCAATTCAGTCATCTGGGCTTGTGTGTAAGAAGTAGATATGGCTAGTTGGCTTGTGTAACTTGGGGCAGCAGCCTACTCACTCGGTTTGGATGCTTCTGTGACAGGAAATCTGGTTGCATCAAACTCCTAACTCCAGCGATGTCCATTCATGTGGGCACTGTTAAAGACTAACAGATGAGCAGTAGGGTGCAGGGGAAAGATAATTCAACTTGACATGATAATTTTCTGCATTAGAACCCTGTCCTGTGCATCACCAGCAGAATGACTTCAGACTTTAGTGCACTTTAGACTTCAGCTGCGATGTTCCAGAACAAGGGGCTCACACCAAAGCTGGACTTGGTTTCTGAGCCTCCTTCTACTCATCTGTAAAATGCTGATCAGATTTGAACTTGCTTTATACATATTGTGTTACTTGGCTAACAGTATTTTAAAGACCTCTGTGCTTCAATAATCTGTAAAAAGGCCAGGTGCAGTGGCTCATGCCTGTAATCACGGCACTTTTGGAGGCCGAGGTGGGCAGATCACCTGAGGTCAGGAGTTTAAGACCAGCCTGGCCAACATGGTGAATCCCCGTTTCTACAAAAACTACAAAATTTAGCCAGGCATGGTGGTGCGTACCTGTAATCCCAGCTACTCAGGAGGCTGAGGCAGGAGAATCACTTGAACCTGGGAAGCAGAGGTTGCAGTGAGCTGAAATCGCGCCACTGTACTCCGGCCTGGGCGGCAGAGCGAGACTCTGTATCCAAAAAAAAAAAAAGTTTCATCTTTGTCTCTTTGTTTTAACTTATGTAAAATTTCAAACACAGTCAAGAAAGACTAGAATAATTAACTAATATGAAGTCACCAGTTTTTAATATTTTGCTGACATCATTTATCTCTCTCAATACTTTTTCCCCTCTGAGGTATTTTTAAGCACATTTGGGGGCCGGGCGCGGTAGTTCACGCCTGTAATCCCAGCACTTTGGGAGGCGGGGGCCGGAGGATCGCTTGGATCCTGGAACCCAGGAGTTCCAGATCAGTCTCAACAACAATTAGCAATAAAAAATAAATAAAAATCAAAGCACATTTGAGCAAATTGTTTTAAAGATCTCTGTGCTTCAATTTTCTAATCTAGGAAATGACGATTATAATATCGAATTCACAGGTGACAATTATATTGAATATTCAATAAATGTTAGTTATCACTGTTTACAGTGGTACCTTATGTGCACAGCCCCCTCCAGGGCGTAAAAGCACTTTGCAGCGCAGCGCTCCAGGTTCAAGACAGATGTTATTGTTGTTATTATTATTATTATTATTATTATTTTGAGACGGAGTCTCGCTCTGTCGCCCAGGCTGGAGTGCAGTGGCGCGATCTCGGCTCACTGCAACCTCCGCCTCCTGGGTTCAAGCGATTTTCCTGCCTCAGCCTCCCGAGTAGCTGGGATTATAGGCACGTGCCACCGAGTTGGGCTGATTTTTGTATAAGACAGATGTTATTAAAGACAGCGTGGAGAAACCCAAGTCTGCGTTGCTGAGATTGCTGCCGCCCGCCTCAGACCGCACTTCAGATCCGCTGGGTCAGGACGTGGAATGTCCCTTGCAGGCATCCATCGTCCAGTGTGGCAACGGGGGGGCGGGAACAGGAAGTGGGGATACGCCCAGTTCCGGGCGTGAGGCGGCCACTGGGAAGAGGAGAGCGCGGCATCTGGAAACTGCAAAGTCAGAGCCGCGATGTTCCGGATTGAGGGCCTCGCGCCGAAGCTGGACCCGGAGGAGATGAAACGGAAGATGCGCGAGGATGTGATCTCCTCCATACGGAACTTTCTCATCTACGTGGCCCTGCTGCGAGTCAGTGAGTGTCTCCCGGGCTGTGACTGTGAGACTAGCGGGGAGCTCACCGGCGGGCACCCCTTAACTCTAATCATACAGGCCATCGGGGCCCTTGAACTGAGCTGAACGGTAGCGGGGAGCGAGGAGGGTACGCGTTGAGGGCGACGGGCATATGCGCGGTTTGAGGTCAGCGGGTCAGGGTCGGGGCACTGAAGTGCACGTGGTGGCCCGGCGCGCGTGGTTAATCATCCTGGTTCTCCCAACTTTAAGAATGTTTGAGCTGCCGGGCGCGTTGGCTTACGCCTGTAATCCTACCCAGCACTTTGTGAGGCCGAGGCGGGCGGATCATTTGGGGTCAGGAGTTCGTGGTGGCGGGCTTCTGTAATCCCAGCTCCTCGGGAGACTAAGGTGGGAGGATTGCTTGAACCCAGGAGGCGGAGGTTGCAGTGAGCCGAGATCGCGACACTGCACTCCAGCTTGGGTGACAGAACAAGACTCCATCTCAAAAAAAAAGAATGTTTGATCTGAAAGAGCCTAAGTAATGATCCCTAGAGGAACTCCCTCGTTTTGCAGACAGAGAAGCGGAACCAGAGTAGGGAAGGTCACTCAGCGATTCAGTGAATGATCTTGACCTAAAATCCAGAACTCTTAACTCAATACCAGGTTTCTTCCCTCTCTTTTCTTTTATTTATTTATTTATTTATTTATTTATTTATTTTTTCTCGAGACAGTCTCTCCTGTTGCCCAGGCTGGAGTGGAGTGGCGCAATCTCGGCCCAGTGCATCCTCTGCCTCTCGAGTTCAAGTCATTCTACTACCTCAACCTCCCAAGTAGCTGAGATTATAGGCGTGTGCCACCACGCCCGGCTAATATTTTTTTTTAAGTAGAGATGGGTGTTTCACCATGTTGGCCAGGCTGGTCTCGAACTCTTGACCTCAGGTGATCCGCCTGCCTGGACCTCCCAAAGTGCTGGGATTACAGGCGTGAACCAGCGGCCAGGTTCCTTCCCATTCAAAAGTGCTGACCTTTGAAATCCAAAAAGTTTTGCTTCATTTCTGTTTCTTTGTATAGAGGGTGAAGTAAATGATTACTTTTTTGGAAGAAATGGGAAAAAGAATATGAATCTATAGGATTAATGCAAATATTTGAGGGGTTTTTTTTTCTATATTTTACAATTGACAGGAAGTTACTCCCATTATATAGTCTTCACAGTGGACCTTTGAGGGAGGCAGGGCCTAAGATTCTTTATATCATTTTACATATGAAAACTTGATTTTCAGTGGGGACTTAGCAAGGAAGGACGGTATCAGAGTTATAGGAACACTGAACATAAGAACTGGAAGCAGCTTTATGATCAGTTCTCGAATGCCCTGCCTTCTCATTCTCAATTCAGTATGCTTTCCATTGTTCCTTGCTGTATGTTATTGGCCAGCCAGTCTGGATGGAGTGGCAGGGATGGTTGAAATAAATGAAGGCCATACCAAGGTCATCCTATTGAAGGCTCATGTTGGGCCTAGGCCGAGATCTCCCTTATTGTGTGTCTCTTTCACTGTCTGTGGTATTACTCTGCTTTCACAGGAGATCAAGTCTTGGGGAACAGAAACACCCATGTCATCCTACTTCAACAGCTTCTTGCAACTCCCAAATTTACTTATTTCCTGCCTCCTGCCTTTTTCATTGATCTAGCTGCCAGTAAAATATTTGCTGCTTCTCAGTGATCTTTGTATTTGATATGAATTGTTTATTTTCACTTTTAAGTTGAAATATAATTTGTACATTATACAATATACCCATTTAAAGTGTACAATTTAGTGGTTTTTAGCAAAGTCAGTTGTGCAGCCATCACAATTTGACAATATTTTCTTTCCCCCTAGAAGAAACACCATATGCGTTCATTGTTACCCCATTTTCCCTTTTCTACAGCCTTTCACAGCTACTAATCTACTTTTTCTCTATGGATTTGTCTATTCTGGATTTTTTTTTTTTTTTTTTTTTCAGACAGGGTCTTGCTCTGTTGCCCAAGCTAGAGGGCAGAGGTGGAGGCTGCGGTGATCGTGACTCACAGCAACCTCGACCTCCTGGGCTCAAGTGATCCAACTACTTTCAGCCTCCTGAGTAACTAAAACTGCAGGCACACGCCAGCACGCCCTGCTAATTTTTGTAGACGTGAGGTTTCATTTTGTTGCCCAGGTCGGTCTTGAACTACTGGGCTCTATCAATCCTTCTCATTTCCACCTTCCAGTGTGTTGGGATTACAGGTGTGGGCCACCACACCTGGCCCTGGATATTTCATTTAAATGAAATTGTCAAATGCATGGCCTTTTGTGTCTGGCTTATTTCACTTAGCATAAGGTTTTCAAGATTCATCCATGTTGTAGCATGTGTCAGAACTTCATTTTGATGGCTAAATAAGTTTCCATTGGAAGGATATATCACATTTTGCTTATCCATTGATTATTTCACGGATTTTTTTCTGTCGTTAAGAATTAGTAGAAAAGGTTGGATATACTGCTGACTTTATCAGCTTCTGACAGATCTCAGTGTCTTCAGTTTAATATTAACAAATTGAGCTGAGTGCAGCGGCTCAATGCCTGTAATTTCAGCACTTTGCGGGGCTGAGGAGGGCAGGTTGCTTGAGCTCAGGAGTTCAAGACCAGCCTTGGCAACATGGCGACCCCGTCTTTTAAAAAAATACAAAAATTAGCCAGGCATGGTGGCATGTGCCTATAGTCCCAACTACTCGGGGGACTGAAAAAAATAATAATAATAACAAAGTGTTCTATTTGTATGAGTATTGAGAAAGAAGGTGATTTGAGTAACTTTTTTTTGGTCACAACACTTTTACACCGAACAGTAATATCACTTCTTTAGATCTATATGTTGACACTTACTTTTCTAGACATTTCTATGTACATGATCTTATTAGACCCTCTTAATGACTGAGGTAGGACTGTATCAGATGTGATTAGAGTATGTAAGTGATACAGAGCTAATCAGTAAGAGACCCAAAATATATTTTCCTCCTTTTTTCTCTAGCAGTGTCCAGCTCTTCTGGTTCACTAGTCCAGTGTTTTCCCATAACTTCTGCCTTTCAAATGAGTTTTTAAAGGTGAAAAATACCCATTTGTTTCCTCTAGAGTTCCTTTTACAGTTAAAATAAATCGCCAGAGTAAAGGATTGTCATTTGAAAAAGAATTGGATTTATACTTTATCATCCTAAGGGGCAGCCTATCTGGAGAAAAGGTTTTACATAGTATAAGAATGAAATTTACAGTAATAGCTGAATGACAGTAGAATGGGCTGCTTTGGAAGGCAATGAGTCCCTTTTGCTGGGTTGTACAGGCAGATGCTTGACCATCACTTGGAGTTATTTTCAAAAACATGTTGAATAAACCTATAAGGTTTCCTTCCCCAGTCTTATAATTCTATAATGTAGCCTATGGACTAATAGATTTGAAAACTAATTTTAGATTTATTTTTCTTTCAGCTCCATTTATCTTAAAGAAATTGGATAGCATATGAAGACTGGACATCTCATATGAATGCACGATATGAAGAGCCTGGTTACAGTTTCGACTCCTCTCTGCAAGTGAATAGGCCCAGAAAGGTGTAAGAGACTCTTTGAATGGACATAAAGTTCTGCTTGTTAAGAACAAGTTTGGCTCTGGTAACTGACGTTCAAAGCTAAAATTTAAAACTATTTGGGAAGTATGAAACGATGTCTCATGATCTGGTGTACCCTTATCCCTGTGACATTTCGCCTCTGACAATACTGGTATAATTGTAAATAATGTCAAACTCCATTTTCTAGCAAGTATTGAGGGAGCTGTGTCTGAAATGGCACTGTCTTGTCAGTCATTTCTGTTTACCTTTTCTGCCCAGAGTATATTTGTGAAGAGTCTCTTAATAGTTATGTTCCGTGGAAATCAACACATAACCACAACGACTTTTAAGCACAGGATCATTAGTCTATGTTTTTAATAAACATATCAATTAAGAAAAATTGGGTTTCTATTTTTCTTATCCTACTTTTTGCTGCAATCACTAGTGAGACTATTATAATATTGAGATTATTGCAAGCTTCAGTAAGTTTGTCTTATTTTGGACTAGAGAATTTGCCAATCCTGATGAAGCGTCATTGTGTTTTATTGCCAGGCAGTCTTAATGAAAGGTAGCATTACTGCTTGATGCTGAGTATATGAAATATTAGTACCACTAAAGGAAAAAAGTACTATATTTTTAAGCCAAATAGTTCTCCAAGCTTGTTGTGTCGGTGGGGGGATAGTCCTTAACCTTCTCCCCAGGAGCAACTACATACACCTTTTTTTAGCTGATTTTATTGGTATTTACCTTTTTGTCTCTAAATAATGTGATGGTCATGATTGGGATTTAGGTGTCTTTCCTCTCTTTAGCTCCATCACTCACATATCTTGTCATCTCTTCCTTTCAAAGGATAACTGTGGGGAAAAGAAAGAGAGATCAGACTGTTACTGTGTCTATATAGACAGAATTAGACATAAGAGACTCCATTTTGTTCTGTATTTGAGATGCTGTTAATCTGTGACCCTACCCCCAACCTTGTCCTTGCAAGAGACTTGTGCTGTGGTGACTCAAGGTTTAAAGGATTTTGGGCTGTGCAGGGTGTGCTTTGTTAAAAAGGTGCCTGAAGGCAGCTTGCTGGTTAAAAGTCATCACCATTCTCTTAATCTCAAGTACCCAGGGACACTTACACTGCCAAAGGAAGGTCGCAGGGACCTCTGCCTAGGAAAGCTAGGTATTATCCAAGGTTTCTCCCCATGTGATAGTCTGAAATAAGGCCTCGTGGGAAGGGAAAGACCTGATTGTCCCCCAGCCTGACACCTGTGAAGGGTCTGTGCTGAGGAGGACTAGTGTAAGAGGAAAGAAGGCCTCTTGGCAGTTGAGATAGAGAAAAGCATCTGTCTCCTGTAGGTCCCTGGGCAATGGAACATCTCAGTGTAAAACCGATTGTATGTTCTGTTTACTGAGAAAGGAGAAAACCGCCTTAGGGCGAAAGGTGGGACTTGCTAGTGCAATGCTGCTCTTTGTGCACTAAAAAGATTTATGGAGATGTTTACATATGCATATCAAGTCACAGCACTTTTCCTTAAACTTCAGTCACAGAGATCTTTATTCATATGTCTTACTGCTGACCTTCTCCCTACGATGATCCTATTATCCT